GATATATAGAAATATTCTCAACCTCGTAAATCATAATAGTAATGCAAATCATTCCAGTAACAATGACTACTTTCAGAAAGACAAAAGATGACAGGTGCTATTGCTAATGTGAAGAAAACTCTTGCACACTGCTGGTGACTTAGACATTCATAGATCATTAGAGTAGGTGTGACATGAATTGGAGGGAGGAGAGTGCCATGTAGATTGAGCCATTTTTCCATTAAGTGCAACCTGACCAGGTAGTCAGAGAAACAGATGTGAGGTCATCAAGGAATCTATAGCCATACTTTATAGCTATGTCTTCTGATGTGTGAAATGCCCCCTTTGTGGCTAAATATCTTTGATGCCTACAGTGGAGTTATTCCCAATACATTAGAAAGTAAGCTATGAGGGCACCTTCCTAAAAAATATGCATGCCCGTTTATGAATATCCTGATAAGTAGGAAAGGAAAACCTGCAGTGACATCTTGGACCCAGAGAGCACACTGTGGAGAGGGATGAAATTGAGGTGGTACCCACGTGGAGGAACTTAATGACATCATGAGAAAGAGAGAACTGTAAGAAACTTTTTAAGGAGTTTGGAGAGTTGGCTCAGTGGCTAAGACCACTGGATGCCCTTGCAGAGGACCTGGGTTTGATTCTCAGCACCCACATGGCAGCTAACAACCTTTTGTAACTCCAGTTCCAGAGGCTCCAACACTGTCTTCTGGCCTCTGTGGGCTTGCACACATAAGTACACTTACATGCATGCAGATAAAACACTCATATACTTAAAATAGAAATTAGTTACTTAATTTTTTTAAAAGAAACTTGCTAAAAATCCACAATGCAGAAAAAAAAACAACATATGTTCTCCCTCATACATGGATCCTAGCACAAAATCCATATAAGTGAGTATGTATTCAGACATAACTACAGGAACAAGGATAATGAAAGGAACCAGGAGCTAAAGGAAAAGAAAGAACCTGAGAGAGAAGAACAGTAGGAAATAGGTGTTACTAAGGAAGAAATGGATAAAAATGGGTTATTTAAATGGGAGGGGAAGGGAATGTTATACAAGGAAGCTTGGGGATAAAGGGAAAGAAGGAGCTCAAGAGAGGTGGGACCATAGGAGATGGGTATTATTCAGGAAGAAATGAGAAAAAATGGGGCACTTTAAATGGGGAAACCATGGTGGAAGGGTTAGACAGTGAGAGATAGAGAGAAGAGAGATAAATAATGCTTAGCTAGTTTTAAAAAACCAAAGGGAACCATATTAGTACAACAACCTACTGACAAATTTATCTCTACATGAGTCCATGTATATAGCTAAAGGCTATATAACAAGAAATAGTGCCAGACAGGAGAAACCTTCCTTTGAGTTGTTGGTCAGGGTGGTCCAAAAGATTCCCAAAATGACTCAGGCTATTACTACAGCCCTTGATGGCCTCCCAGCACTTAAAGGTACAGCCCTACTGCTGAAGACAGTACATACTTCGGACACAGGATTTGGAGCAATAGAGCTGCAACTGACCTGAAACCACTTCCACTAAAGCTCTCATAGCTTTGGAAAGTGCTATGAAGGTGCCAAGGGACGATCCAACACCAGCTTCACCAAATAACCACATCAATGGCCAGCACAGCACATGTCATTGGTTCAGTGGTGGCACTTTTATCTTGGGGGCAATCAACAGCGACCTAATTTGACTAAGAGCCCACTCAAAGGGAGGAAACTCAAGTGTGATACTGTAACATAACCTAATACACATAGCTGGAGTGGTCATAGATCTTAGAGAAAACCCTGAAACTGTCATATCACTAGACTAATGTGATTTCTTACTGTGTGGAAAATAGGTATCCTTATAATCACAAACAAATATCCCAGTTGCCACTCATCAAAGAAGCTTATTTTGCAACAGAGACTATTACCAAGTATCAGAACTGTTAACACGCAGACATTGTCTATGGATTGCCCAGGCCTAAGAGACACCTCTGCAATGCAACCTCTATTCCTAAGGCTCATGGAACATAGAACAAGGGGTAAAGAAGAGGACACTAAGGAATCAGTTCTCAATAATGAAGCTCCTTATACAGCAGAGGGCCAGGAACACAGAAGGTCACAAATAGCCACAGTGTAGACATCAAGAGTCTGCTGAATGATGGTCCTTGGACAGGACCCCTTTATTAAACTTCACCTACCCAAGGCTCAGGTACCATCACAGAAGAGGAGGGCAGAAAGATTGTAAGAGCCAGGGAGGAGGTGCATGACCATATGGAAACAGAGTCCTCCAGGCTCCTGGGAACCTGCTCATATGATTCTATGGCAACAGTGTCAGCATACACTAGTTCCAAGCAATCTCAGGCAGAGAATAATCCAGCACAGAACTGGGAAAATGAACAACAGACCCCAATCTTATTTGAAGGAATGTTGGCAACTGATTGCTGCTAGATGAAGAAGAGCTGATCTTCCTAAAACAAGGGACTCTAGATAGGCTGACTAGACTCAGTGGATGGACTTGAACTGGGGAATGGCTGGGGATACTGACAACACAGTGGGCCTTAACAGGAATGACAGAGTATATGGACTACAGTCTGGTGGCTATGGGAGGGTGCTGGTGGGCTCGGGGGTATAAAGATGATTAAGATATTCTGTATGAAATATACAAAAAAATCAATTTTAAAAATATTTTTAAAAAATCCACAATGCAGGTTGTGGTTTTTTTTTTTTAATTGAGGATTAAATATTAAATCCATTGAGGATTTTTTTTTAATCCACAACCCAATAGGTTTCCACCACCACTGCCCCCTTGGGTTAGCCTTTCTACAGTGCACTATCACTGTGCTTTTCTAAATAAATATGAGCATAAAGGGTGTCGTTTGACTAAATTCTTTCCTTTTGAGAAGATTTAAAACAAAGAGACATCTTCACCCAGTAGAAGATCCATAACTGGAAAGAGTAAAACACCATACAATCTACCAATCCCACGGCTTGGTATACATCCGAAGGACATGAAATCAATACATAAAAAAGACATCTGCACTATTGTGCTTTATTGCAGCTCTATGAACAATGCCTAAGAAATGCAAACAACCTAGGTGTCCATCTACTAGGAATGAAAATAAAATGCGGAACATGTAGACAAGTGGACGCTATTTGACCATAAAAATGAATGAAATTATTGTCATTTATCACAATATGGGTGGAACCGGATATCGTGTTGAGTGAAAAAAGCTAGAAGCAGAAAAACAAGTGCCCTGCCCTCTCCCTCATGTGCAGAATTTTAAATATATAAGGTGGGAGTAGAGTTGTGGTCACCAGAGTTTCCTAAGTTACCGGGGAGAGGAAAAGTGGAGAAAGGCCAACAATGATTACTAAGTTTCAATTAGCTACAAGTAAGACGTTCTGGTGTGCTGTTGCACATTATAATGATTCTGGAAGGGGTGCCGTGAAAACTAGAAGTCAGGTGTGCTGGAGCACGCCTTTAATCCCAGCACTCAGAAGGCAGAAGCAGGTGGATCTCTGTGAGACTGAGGCAAGCCTGGTCTACATAGTGAGTTCCAGGCCAGCTGGGGCTACAGGGAAACCCTGCCTTAAAAAGAAAAAACAAAAGAAAAAAAAATCAGCTAGAAGAAAGGATTTTGTAGGTTTTACCATAGGGAAATGGTAAATACTTGAGGCAATAAATATTTTTAATATGATCGTAATATATATATGCATTTATTCAATCATAGCACTGTATCCCATTAATACATATAATTGTTATATTTGTGTATAAGTTAAAATTTTAACTTAAGTTCAATTAAAATGAGAGAAATATGTCTGTAGAGGTGGAAAAAATAAGTAGTTCAAGTGTTAAACCATATAACCACAGAAATTCAAATTACTCTTTAAAAAAAAATTATTAGCAATGATAGAGTTTAGCAAGATTGTCAGAGGTACGGTCATCAACATAATCAGGTACACGTCCATGTTCCAGAAACAGAGTGGTTTTTTAAGTTTATAATTTATAATAAATTCAAAAATCTCATTCATTTTGGGAAAAGGTAATAGATTTACAAGTTGTTGGACTAAAAACAATATTGAAAAATTAAGGAAAGACTAAATAAGTTGGGAACATAGTCATGTCCACGAACTGAAAGATTTAATATGATACAGCATCAATATTTGCAAATGATCTACATATTTAATATCACCCTGATAAAAGCCTCAGGGAAGTATTTTTGGAAAATTGACAAACTGGATTTTTAACATTTACTTGGGGATATAAACACTTAAATGCACCCAAAAAAAATTTAAAGAAGGATGTATTTGGAAGACATACATTATTATAACATCTTATAAAAGTTACTACCCCCGTGGGCTGGAGAGATGGCTCAGTGGTTAAGAACACTTGCTACTCTTGTAGAGGACCTGAGTTCAGTTCCCAGCCCGTACATCAAGCAGCAGTACTCCAGTGTCAGGGACTTGGTGCCCTCGTCCTGGCTTCTGCTGGCACCTGGATGCACATGGTGCACATACATGCACTTAAGCACACACATACTGATAAACTTTAAAAATAAATAAATCCAGGGCTGGAGAGATGGCTCAGCGGTTAAGAGCACTAACTGCTCTTGCAGAGGACCCAGGTTCAATTCCCAGGATCCTCGTAGTGACCCTGAACTATCCTTAGAGATGGCTCAGCGGTTAAGAGCACTGACTGCTCTTCCAGAGGACCCGGGTTTGATTCCCAGCACTCACATGGCAGCTGCAAACTGTCCTTAACTCCAGTTCCAGGGGAATCCGAAGCCCTCTTCTGACCTCCGCAGCATTGCACGACACAGGTGCACTCACATACATGCAGGCAATACACTCATACATATAAAATAAAAATAATAAATAAACAAATCCTTCTTATAAAAGCTTACTAGCCCCATAAGAGTCCTGCAAGTCTCACTTCTTGTGTTGACGGAGGATTGGAACTGAACTTTGAATTCAGAAACTGTAAGAAAATTAGAGTGCAGAAAAAGAGAAGCAAGCTTACCTTGGGAATGACATAATCTCTGAATCTAACATTACAGGTTGCTGCATGAGGTACATTGTTGGGGATGAGGTCGATGTATCTCTGGACCTCGTGCACCATGGCATCCGAGTAGGGCATGTGGCTCCTGTCTTGCATGCAGGGGCTCCGGTGTCTGCCAACCACACGGTCAATCTCCTCCTGTACTTTAGCTGATAGGACACAAATTAAGAAATGGCACACTTTCACAAAAATACAAGCTTGTATGAAGTGTGATGAAGGTGTTAGGTCATAAGGACACCCAGAATTAGAGAATTGTTATGTTATAATATACATAAATCTCCACAACATAAGCATTAAGATGAATCTGTACAGACATACACAACACTACTATATACATCAATACACATAAATTATTAAATGCTTCAAAATATAAATATCCTATATTATCAATTCAAACAATTACTGTCCTTGTAGAAAGAAAAGCAGAAAAAAATAATTAATTTCACATTTAAATAACAGTGGTGCTTTAAAATTGAATTCTAGGAGCTAGGGACGAGGTTCAGTGGAAGAGTGCTTGTTCAGTATACATAATGTTCTGGGTTCCATCCCTGGCATCACAATTAAATAGTTCAGTTGATAGAGTGTTTCCCAGTATGCATGAATCCTTGGGTTCTATCCCAGCACTATATAAAATAGATGTCATGGTACATGCCTGTAATCCCAGCACTCAAGAAGTGGACCTGGAAACATCAGGATTCAAGGTCATCATTGACTATATATCAATTTCAATGACTGCCTAGGCTTCGGAAGACTATTTCTCAAAAATAAATAAATAAATAAATAAATAAATAGGCATGGTGGCACACACCTTTAATCCCAGCACTTGAGAGGCAAAGGCAGGAAGATCTCTGTGAGTCCAAAGCCAGTCTAGTCTACAGAGTGAGACCCTGTCACAAAAATAATAATAAAATAACAATCTTTTTAAGATGAATTCTAATACATCTATATGTGTGTCATGTGTGTGTGTGTATGTGTGAAACTTACCATCCTTTTTCACTTCCTCTTTCCCAAAGTCATTCACTTTGAAAATTTCTAGAAGTTTTGTCTGCAGCTTATGTTCACATTTGTAATTAATAACAAGTTCTATTTATACTATTTCTGAACTATTTTTATAATATAGATGAATTACATCTGTATGATCACTTATACAAAACATGCAAAGGCACATGCACGCATACACACACACACACACACACACACACACACTCCCCTCAGTTCACGTTCCTGAATGTAATTACATCTACATCATAATTCTGATTCTTACTCATTGTTTATATGAATATGGCTTTATAAATACTATTCACAGGTAAGACAATTACAATTATAATCTTTGTACATTCTTGAACATAAAAGTATGTTTGGCAATTCTGTATGTTTAGGTCGTGAGGCTGAGCCTTTAACAGCTCATCAATTATACGTCACATCTTAATTTTGAGATACCTATTTAAAATTATTGCAAATCAAAAAAAATGCCAAACATGGTGTCATTTGCCTTTAATCCCAGCCCTTAGGATGCAGAGACAAGTGGATCTCTGCAAGATCAAGGCCACCTTGGCCCACATCTTGACTTCTAGGTGGGCTGGGACTGGGGAGACCCTATCAAAAACAAACGAACAAAAAATATTGCAAAAATTTTTTATCTTCAACTACAGTTCGAATTACTAGTAATAATTTTCTGATTCCTAGAGACCATCAGAATCGGTAATTTCTCTTTTGTTCTCGATGTGGCCCCTTACACCTGCATTATCCCCCTTTTCCATCATAAGCCTGGTACTCAGCAGCCTTTCTAACATGCTCATCCTGAGGCTCCATGAGCTCTCCTGAGCCTGCACTCTCTGCTTGCTTCAGCCATTTGGAAAGAGCACATCCTTTAAAATCTTTCTGCAAAAGTAAAAACATAAAGCAAGTTTCTTGCTGACTTATAGGTCTGAAATGACCACTTGTCTGTGAAAACAGAAGAAAAAAGCTGCTCTTGAAGACTGCAATGCCATTCTGACTCTTAATTTTCATGTATAACCTAGATTATCTGAATGTTCTAGAAATTTCTCCCATAAATCCGGTTGTCTGAAATTCCAAAACCTAGATCTTGAGATGCCATCATTTCATTCATTTTGCTTGTCATTTGTTGAGAATTTTTATTGTGGATAAAAAAAAAAAACCCAGAAACAGATGTCAGTCATTGGAGTTCACATCAAGCTGCCGAATTTCAGGAACAAAATGGAGTCTCTTACTAAAGCCTTCATTCTTGCCCTGAACCTTCTTTCCTTGTCTCTGCATGTGCGCCTGAGTGCTCAGCCTCTGGGGTTGTTTCTCTAGTACATTAACCTCTTCCTCAGGGGAAAAAGAGTTGCCTGATGGACAGAAATGTGGAGAGAGGGCAGGGAGAGCTCCCTGTTTTCAGCTTCATTCTCCCTGGAGCTTTGGCACTTAGTTCTTGAACACGCTGGGACTTGTAGAGGATGTAAGGAGCATGCACTGGCCTGCCCGCCCACGATAAATCTTCCTATTATGGTATTTAGAATAGAATTTCCATACCTCTCTTCCTGAATAGTTCTTTAGCCCCCATCTGTTCTCTGTGCTTAAAAAGTTTCTAAAGACTTGGTGGCTATTTCCCATATTCTTCAACTTATACAGAAGTGATTCTCATTTGTAGTCATCATTTTGATGAGATTCAGACCCAGAAAAATGTAATGTATGAAGCTAATCTTCTATGCATTGCCAAAATCTGCCTAAAGATTAACAAAATTAAAATTTTGAATTGTTGTAAAAGATAAAGCTATTGGCAGTTTTAAAAATTATCATTTAAGGCTGGAGAGATGGATTGGTGGTTAAGGCTGCCTTACAGAGGTCCCAGGTTCGATCCCCAGCACCCACTGGGTAGCAAACAACTATTCATAACTCCAGTTCTGGGGGACTCCAATGCCCTCTTCTGACATCCACAGGCATTGTACAACAAGGGTGCATTTATATACATGCAGGCAATACACTCATCATACACATAAGTAAAAATAATAAATAAAATATTTTGATCATTTAGTAAAAACTATTTTTCTAGATTCATTTGATATCGTGAGTAATAAAATTCATAAAGAATATCTTCTGCCTCCATACCAAATACCTTTCTTATAAGCAAATTATTAACATACTTCCCAGTATCTGGACATTTTCCCAAGTCACCTATCAAAGTATCACCACTATACTTCTAAGACTAGAATTTCTCCCCGTCTGAGTTTAAAATACTACTTCCTCAAAGATCTTTGAGTATATGTATTCAAAGTGATCTGTTCCTTAGAAAGCCATAAGTTTGTGTCTGTTGAAGTTTCCTTCCCAGAAATTCCAGGCACTATCCAGAGTGTTGCATCATTAAATACAGAATTTTCCATTCACTTTTCTCTATTCTCAAAATTTGTCTCATTCTGTCTCATCATATGTACACGAATAACAGCTGTTGGCGCAGAAACACCAATAGTATAGCTTCTTGGAAAGAAATGTCCAGAGAAGGCTGACTCTGCCTCATGAGCATCTTTGCAGTCATACCTGTGACCTCTGGGTGCTTCAGCAGGAGCAGGAGTCCATACCTCAGGGTGGTGCTTGTTGTTTCTGATCCAGCTACAAACACATCAGTCACAGTGGCCATCAAGTTCTCGATAGTAAACTCAGAATGCCGATTGTTCTTTTCCTAGAAATGTTTACTTAATTATTAGACAGTAACAACACATCCAAAATAATATAGGTTATTTTAGAAATAAGCAAACTTAAAAGATGAAGAGTATAGTATAAATACTGCAGGAATTGTAAATATGGCAAAAATGTAAATTAATTGACTCAGTCTTCATTTCTATGCCCTTATTTCTTCCTTTCCTTAAAATTCCTTTTCCCAGGCTTTTTTACAGAGATATTGGTCATATAAACATGTCACCAGTGAGATAAGAAAAGGAACCGGCTGATACAAATCTCTCTCTCTCTCTCTCTCTCTCTCTCTCTCTCTCCTCTCTCCTCTCTTTTAAGCATATTATGACATCAGAGGTGGTCCATACATCACCTTGAAATGTATTTTAACATCAGCATCAACACTCATGTATTCAGTGTAATGGTGGAAAACAGCAAGTACTATTGATGATTTAGGGCTACTATATTCACTTTGGACTAACCTATAAGAGAGTCTTTGCATATGAGATAAACACCCTATCTTTGAAGCCATTGTTAATTGGGTTTTCTCTTGTTTCCATGACATCAACTTTTGATTGATACAAAGAGAAGTTCAAACCTAAAATAATAAAAATATTACAAGCCAAAATTAAGAGTTTGTAAATTATTTTTGAGACAAAGTCCTGACTGGTCTATAACTCACTATGTAGACCAGGGTGGCCTCTGCCTCCCAAGTGCTGGGATTAAAGGCATATGCCACCACACCCAGCAAACATTTGTCATTTTTGGAATATGATTTTAGCAGTAAGTTGAATGGGAGACTCCTGACTCTCCCCCCACCTATGGACTCACCAAATAAATATCTATTTACAAGTCAGTTCCCTCTGAAGGAAACTCAGAACAGGTTTAGAGACTTCAACACACTTGGCAACTGAGAAATTATTCCTGTCACTACCAAATGAGAAGTAAAAACTGAAGTGCATTTGGGCAATGATGACAATCCAAAACCTCTGCCGTGAAATTCTGCAAGAGTCCCAGCATACATATTTTTCTGAGTAAAGGAAGGACTGGACCATAAGGCAAAGGGGAGCAGGCATCCATGTGTTCTTCTAAACCACAGGAAAAAAAATGGATAATTTATATGTTCATGCAAATGACCCTAAGGGTGCTAATCACTGGGAAATTTCTTTTTATAGAGATTTGCACTGGTGAGGACACAAAGGGAGCACTTGTGCATTGCTAGTTTTAGTGTAAATTATGACAGCCATTTTGGTAAAAAGTATGGAGTTACTTCAAAAAAAAGTAAAAAGGGAATGAGCATGATTCAGCCATCTCACTCTTGGCTATGTACTGAAAAATAATTGAAATTAATAAATCAAAGAGATGCCTGCACTCCTATGTAAATTTCAGAATTTTTCATTGGAAACAACTAAATGCCCATCAACAAATTAATGGATTTTAAAAATATGAGATGGATTGAAATCCAAGATGGCTGAGACTAAGACAAGATTAACAGCAGCTTTATCTCAGAATTTACTTTTCTGCAATCCAACTTCTGTTAAGCCAGTCCAAGGTAGTGAAAATCTTGTACCTGGTCCTTGAGCTCTGTCGTCATGTCAGATCTCCTTCTGCTGAACTCACTACTGTTTCTCTGAAGCAGCATTAGCTTAGAGTCTCACTGTGGTTCATACACATGCCTGACCAGATCAGTGCTCTTCATGCCAGCATGCATATTTGCAGAGTTATTGAAACACATTTTTACCTGTTTATCTATCCAGAATCATTTCTGGATACCCTTAACCAAAGCTTCTATCCTCTTTTTTATTGTTTCTTTTTATTGAATTTTTGTGATTTTCATGCAATATAATTTTGCATATATTTAAGTTTTTGTGCATTTCATACAATAAATCTTTATCATGTTTAGACAGCCTCCCCCATCCACACCCCTCCATACCACCACCACCACCACCACCCCCGGATTTCATGTATCCTGTCATATATGGTAAGGCCTATCCGGTCAAGCTTTTGTACCCAGATGTCCCTCGGTGCGAGTTCATCTACTGGAATCTACTTAGTATATCTAGAGTCACTCTCTTAAAGAAGATCTACTCTCCCTCAGCAAGCAGTAATCAATTGCCAGTAGTTCTTCAGTGAGGGTTTGGGCCTGCTGCCCACTTCCCTGGTTCTATGCTGGGTTTTTGTCTGATTGAGTAAGTGTTGGTCTTGTGCATGCTGTCACTACTGCTGCAAGTTTATACGAGCAAGTTCCCAGAGGCCTGAAAGCCTCTGTTTTCTTATGTTCATGCACCAACTCTGGCTCTTACAGCCTTTCTGACCCCTCTTCCCCAATGGTCACTGAGCCATGAGTGAGTGAGGTTTAATATAGGAGTCCTATCCATAGACACGCACTTCGCAGTCTCTTATTCTCTACACCTTAGCCAGTTGTGGCTTTTTGTGTGCACTGCACTCTGTTGTATGAGGAAGCTTTCCTGGTGAGAGTTGAGGGATGTAGTAGTATTCTCCCTACCCCTTGTTCCACTATAGTCTATGAGCCTTGAGTGTAAGGTACCACTGTAGATGTGTCATTTAGGTCTGAACATCTCTCAGGCACATATTCTCTGTGTGTGATCAGTTGTAGAACTCTAATGGCCTTCAAATTATAGTTTGTTAGAATAAAAAACAGTCCCCATTTTGACTAAGAACATCTGACTGAATATACAGTAGTCCTCTAAGTTGACAAAGATGATTAAGGGAGAAAATTGATCACATGTTCATGGCTTCTATCTTCTTTGTGACCATGTGCATCTGAACCTATCATCGCCTCATTGAAATCCCCTCCCCTGTTCCTCACTGAAATATTCAAAGATGTGTAACAAACTTCAGACCATCCAGGAAACCTGCCCAGGCTAAACACTTCTTCTTATTCTCCTCTATGCTCTATGATACCATCAAGTCCACTTGTGACTATAAGATTTGATATTTTGTGTTTTTAACTTGTTTATATATCAGATTCATCTGAAGTATATAACCCCTTTCCTTATATAGATTATCAAATAATGCCCATGTATTTTGACTGTTTAACAATTCAATTTTTCTTTTAAATTGCATTTATTATTTTTATTTTATGTGTATGAGCATATTGCCGGCATGTGTGTAAGTGTACCTGTGTCACGCAATACCTGCAGAGGTCAGAAGGGGGCATCGGATCCCCTAGAACTGGAGTTAGGATGGTTGTTAGCTGGGAATGGATCACAGGTCCTTTGCAAGAGCTCTTAACCACTAAGCCAACTCTCCTTTTCCTTAACAATTCAACTTTAAATCTCTTATGATGCTTAGTCCAATCAGTATTCACAATAGGTACCTAAAGTGCTTACCAAGTGTTTCTTGTCTTACAAGTTAAATCTCCCCTAGTAAAAATAGAAAAGTTAATGAAACATAAAATGCAAGCCAACAAATAACATTTTACCTGTTCCATTTTAATCAGAAAGCAGTCAATGAAGTCCCGAGGATTGTCAATGTCCAAGGATTCTTGGTGCTCTTTTACTTTCTCCAAAATATAACTTTTTATTTCAACAAAATTTTTAATTACTTTCTTATGACTCCCTGGGAGATAATAAATGAATGCAGGGAAAATATTCAAGACCTTAAAGATTGGAAAATAAATACTGATTAGGCTGAGTGTGGTGACTCACATCTAGCACCTCAGTTACTCAGGAGGCTTGTGTGGGAGAATCACTGGAGCCTGTGAGTTCAAGAAGAGCCTGGGTAGGGTAGTGAGATGCCATCTCCACAGCAATGTACTAAAATATAAGCAAGTACTAAAGTCATATATAGCATGTGTTAAATCATGATTTGGTAGAGCAAATAAAAAATAGTTCCCATTTTGACCAAGAGCATCAGATTGAATATACAAGAGTCCTCTATGTTGACAAAGATAATTAAGGGAGAAAATTGATCGCATGTTCAAATATGATTTTAAACTTTTTTTAATTTTTTTATGTGTATGCGTGTATTGCCTGCATGTAGGTATGTGTACCCATGTGGTACAATGCCCACGGAGGTCCAAAGAGGCTGTCGGATCCCCTGGGACTGGAGTTATGGACAGTTGTTAGCTGCCATGTGAGTGCTGGGATTCAAACCCAGGTCTTCTGCAAGAACAACCAGTGTTCTTAACCACTGAGCCATCTCTCCAGCCCCTCAAATATGATTTTTTTAAAAACCGCTGAACTTACATAACTTTTGAAATATTTTTAGAGATTTACTTTTAATTATGTATGTGGATATGTGTATGTTAGTACAGTGCCCACAAAGATGGGAAAGGGGTATCAGATTCCCTGGAGTTGGAATTACAAGTGGTTATAATCACCTGATGAGGGTGCTGGGAACTCACCTCAGGTCCCTACAAGATCACAATGCGCTCCACTGCTGAGCCATCTCTCCAGCCCCTCATTTTGAGAATTTTAAAGCATCTTTGTATTGATTTGCTTATTTTATTTACAATTTCAAAATACAGAATTTTAGGTATGTTGCCAACTAAAATCTGCCTCTATGTGACCTGGTTAAGGAGAAAAGCCAACATAAGAAAGAAGAGACTCTACTGCAAAAAGAGAAAGAAGAACCTGGGAAATTAACAAAGGTGGTGACAGAAGCACTGGAAAGTACCAAGACAAAGATGAGTGACACACAGAAAAGAAGCCAAGCCAAAGACAGCCTGGCCTTGGCTGTTGCTGGGAAGGGGAAGTAGAAACTCCATCCCAAAGGTAAGGCAGGTGGCTTGGTGAGAAAAGAACAGCATCCCTGCCCTCAGGAAACCTACACTGCTCTGAGTCTTCAAATCCATTGTGGGTTTTAGAATGAGAGTGGTAGATGATCAGTGGAGAGGAGCTGGATGCTGTCACCCTACACATGGTGGGCAGTGGCCAAGCACCATCTTGATACAAATCCTGCCATTTGTTTTATATATTTCTTACTGAATTTTTTGTATTTCATACAGAACATCTCAAACAATCTTAATCATCTTTATACCCCCATCCCCACTGGCACCCTCCCATACCTCCCCACTGGAACCCATATACTCTGTCATCCCTGTTAAGACCCACTGGGTTGTCAGTGTCCCCAGCTGTTCCCTAGTACAAGTCTGTGGGGACCTAAAGGCCCCACCTTGCATAGGTCCGAAAGGAAGTTACTGGCGGCGCGGCCTGGCTTGCTTTGAAGTCTGAAGAATACTTCTGCACTGCCGAGGAGTGCATGATCAGCACATGACCATCCTTAAGATACACCCTTGGGTGGGGGGGAGTTCCAGGTGCCCAGGAGTGCATGATCAGCACATGACCATCCTTAAGATACACTCTCAGGGGGGATGGGGGAGTTCCAGGTGCCTTTATAAGCTTTGTAACATCTGCAATAAATGAGTCCCTGCCTGACTAGACTCCCCCCAAACGGCATGCTTACTCATCCCCAATCATCACCTCCCCGGGGGTTGCTGGTTCGAACTCCCTGGCACAAGTCCATCCATTGAGTCTAGTCAGCCTAAAATCCTGCCATTTAAAACTGAGCTAACCTTGGAGACTGAGAATAGGGAGCAGTCACAAATTAGGAAACTCAGGGGACCCTGTTGGAACACCTCTGTATGTATCACTTGATTTTGCTGTAGACCTAAAACTGCTTTTTATAAGTCTTTTAAAAATTGTATCAGATGCTGGATATGGTGGTGCACACCTTTAATCCCAGCACTTGGGAGGCAGAGGCAGTGGATCTCTGTGAGTTCAAGGCAAGCCTGGTCTACATAGTGAGCTCCAGGTCAGTTGGGGCTATGGGGAGACGCTGTCTCAAGAAGACCAAAAAAAATTGTATCAGAAAAGCAAACAGACAAAGAAATGCTTCAGTACATAGAGCTAAGGAGATAGTTCAAACTGTAAACACTTGCTGTATAAACATGAAGATCTGAGTTCAAATCCCAGAATCCATGTGGGGTTTAAAAAAAAAAAAAAAAAACAGGCTTAGTGACCTGTGCTTGAAATCCCAGAGCTGAGTAGACAGAGACAGAAAGAGCCACTGGGTTTGCAGTCAGCTGGTCTAGCTTGTAGGTGAGACGCTGACCCTAAAACAAGGTGGAGAACTGAGGACCTTGTCCTCTGGATTCCACATGCATGCATACATATGTGTGTGTGCTCCCACACACACATGTGCTTAAATACACAAAATGAAAGAAAGAACTTCAAAATATGATAAAACAAAATTACTTCTAAGAGAATAAAAGGGGTAACACAGGGAAGTGTAATAATGTACTGAAGCAACTTCTTTCTGGACCCTTGAAACATGGACGACTCTGTGTATGTTGGGGGGTGACATCAGCTGAATTGTGGACTGTTCTCTTCCCCATGGTTTACACTGGTGTTGATCCTGCATTAGACAAGCATCTAATGTCACAAACTTTTCCTTTACTTTAGATGCTTCCCTTCTGTGCATCCCAGGGTAATCTGCTGGACACACTTAGCTTTGCAGTCTGTGATCTGTATGGGTTCTCACACCTGTCTGCGATTTTCTGTTACTGAGAGTTATTACAGTCAGAGCTGGCATGTCCTGAACTCTCCCTGGAAGATCATTGCATGGTTGTGCTGAAATAGTTTAACTGCCCTTGTATATAAATACTTATCCATAAAATAAGTAAATGCTGAGTTGGGTCTGTTTCTAAACTGTTCACAATAGCCAAGAACTAGAACCAGCCTAAATGTTCTTCAACAGATGGATGAAAAAAATGTGGAATATTTTTCAGTCATAAAAAAAGCGAAATAGCCTGAGTAATTCTGGGAGTCTCTTGAACCACCCTGGCCAACAACTCAAAGGAAAGTATCTCCTTTCTGGCACTGTTTCTTCTTATGTAGCCTTTAGCTATAAACACGGACTCATGTAGGGATAGTGTATGTATATTTTGTCAGTAGGTTGTTGGACTAATATGGTTCCCTCCAGTTTTTTAAAACTAGGTAGGCATTATTTATCTCTCTCGCTGTCTAACTCTTCTACCATGGTTTCCCCATTTAAAGTGTCGCCATTTTCCCCATTTCTCCCTTAATAATAATACCCTTTTCCTATGGTCCCATCTCTCCTGAGCTCCTTCTTTCCCTTCATCCCCAAGTTTCCTTGTATAACTCTCCCTCCCCCCTTCCATTTAAATAACCCCATTTTTATCCATATCTCCCTTAGTAACACCTGTCTCCTACTGTTCTTCTCTCTCAGGTTCTTTCTTTTTCTTTCCTTCCTGGTTCCTCGGCTGGAGGCATTGACAACACAGTGGGCAATAACAGGGATGACAGAGTATATGGCCTCCAGTGAAGGGGGTGCTATAGGAGGATGTCAGTGGAGATGGGGGCATAAAGATGATTAAGATTATTTGAGATGTTCTGTATGAAATACACAAAAAATCAATAAAAATGGAGAAATAATAACATTTACAAGAAACTGTATGCAACTAGAGGTAGGTGTGCATGAGTAATGAGAGCAGAACAGGGGCCATGAGAGGGGAGAGAAATTGGGAGAAGGGGAAGGGGAAGATAAGACCCTGGACTTCACAGGACAGTAAAGCAGAAGGGAGTACTGTCTGGGAAGAGAGAGAAATCAGCAGGAAGTAGGCAGTGGGGGTGTGAAGGGTAATGAGGGGGGATAAATAAGAAAATAGTATATCACACACATCATCATCATCATCATCATCATCATGAAACCTATCATTTTGTATGTTAATTTAACAATAATTTTGAAACCCTTGAAATAAGAATCGTATGAATTGACAGCTGAAGAGATGGCTCAGCGGTTAAGAGAACTAGCTGCTCTTGCAGAGGACCTAGGTTCAATTCCCAGCACCCACATGACAAATAACTTCAGTTCCAGAGGATCCAATACCTTCTTCTGACCTCCGTGGGCATTGTGAAACGTGAGCACACTTACACATGTGCAGGCAGTATACTCATACATAAAAAGTAATAAATAAGATTTTTGAAAAAGAATTGCGTGAATTGCTATGGCTCACATTTTTTAATTGAGGATAGAGATTCAGGAAGTTTGGGCAATGTGCTGGAGAGTGCAAAGCCACTCCTGCCATTTCTACTACTAGCAATCAACCTTGGGAATGGAATCATGATTTTACAACTGAGGATGAAAATACTATGAAACCCAACTCAGCATTTTATGGATACATATTTATACACAAGGGCAGTTAAAGTATTCTTTACAACCATGCAATTAGCTTCCAGGGAGAGTTCAGGACATGCCAGCCCAACAGAGGGTGATATTCCAAGACCCAATCATTTGCCATCTGTGCTCCATTCTTAGCATCTTCTGAGTGGAAATTTCAACCAAGTAACATGATGAAGATGCCTCTAACTTGATTGACCAACATCCCTGTGGGTGACAGAAGCTTTCCAAAGAAAACCTGGCTGTGGCCAAGCATGATGATGAACGTCTCTAGTCCCAGCATTCAAAATCAAAGGCAGGCAGATCTCTGTGAGTTTGAAGCCAACCTGGTCTACATAACAAGTTCCAGGCCAGCCAAGGCTACATAATAAGACCCTATCTCAAAAAATTTACAGAAAAGAAAACATGGGTACATCCCTAAGAGCTTAAGCATGCTTCTGTGTTGCCTGGAAACAGGAGTCAGCGGAAAACCATGCAATGAAAGGGCTTGAACTTCAGTCCTGTGTCCAAGAATTTGTCATGGCTGTAAACCAAAGGTGTTATAATATGTTTTTGAGAAGACCATGCCATGATGCTAAGATCTGGACAGGTGGGATGTGGCATGGAAATAGTCACCTTATGAGCATGCACAGCCCATTCCTCCACAATTTTTTTTCTAATCAAACAAAAGTCAGCAGAATCAACTTTCTCACAACTCTGGAAAGCATTCAGATATTCACGGAAACAAAGTGACAGCAGAATTAAAACACAGGAGACAACTTGAAGACAGTAGGAAAGCTTTGTGGTCTTGTTTCTGCCATGGTCCAGCCTGCCTTGTGGCTTAACAGTGGCCTTGACAGTGGCGGCCCTGTAACTAGTGTACGACTTTGCTGTTGTAGTCGGGATCAAACCAGGCCCTTGTGCAAGTTAGACAAGCACCGTACCACCAAGACACAGCTTTGTCCTCAACCTCCCCATTTATATTTTTTCCCTTCATCTACTTTCAGCCTCCTGAGTAAAACTGAGAAATGATGTGTGAGGAGAGTTGGAGAAAGAGAGATGGGTTCTGCTCTACAGAAGAGTTCTCTCTATGCACCAAGGTATGAGGCAAATGTTTGGAAAACAGCAC